AACAGCAACGGAATGAGGCAATTTTTATAGATTTCTTGACCAATTTTTAGTCCATATGCAACAAGTACACGCATCTGATTTTATGCTAGACATTAATTTTTGAAAGTTCATTTACATTAAAATTTCTTTAATGGGAGCCATGTCTTAAATCCAGTTGAACTGAACATAGTTAGTATAATGCTATGGTGATTTTTACACAGCAAAATCATTTTGCGAAGTTAATTCACTACACAAATGCTTAATGAGGGCTTATCATCTGTAACGCACCATAATGGCTACTAAGGCACAATCGCCAAAATGACACTAAAAGTAATATTAAGAGCTATTTATTGAGTACTTATGAAGCCCTGAGCTCATATGAGATTTCTCATACAAGAAAATCTCATTAATGATGTAGTTATTATTATTCTCCCCATTTTATAAACAAGGACATTGAGGCCTTAAAGAGTTAATAATTGACTCAAAGTCACACAGTTGATAAGTGTCAGGGCCAAGATATAAATGGAAGAAATATATTTGGTTTTCTCCCCTTATTACATTACCCAAAAATAATTTTCCTCTGATGGAAAATGAGATTTCCATTTATCAATCTAGGAGCAAGTTGTGATGCTCTGTAATATATAATACACAATTATTCTTAATTTTATCCCACTAATTCATCAAATCATCAATACAAGGTCTTATTTTCTACTTCATTTTTATTGAAATGCCCCAAGTGCTTAACATATAAATATCAAAATCTATTTAAATAAAAGTACATGCTTTTCTTGAAAAGTCCATGTCAAGGAATCTAATAAACGATCGCTCGCTCAAAATTTTATATCTGTGTATATTTGCATTAATACCTATTATTTGGGGGTACATGCACTTATTTGCACAATTTGAGTAATGTGATCTGTTCTTTTATTAGAGCTCCTGGAAATTTCAATTATAGCTGCTGTAAGGTTGATGGTAAGACCTACATTCATTCAATATTAAACTAGAGAAATCAAATTATTCACTATTCCCAAGTACAAAAAGAAGTAACTGTGCTTTTAATAATATAAACCAGAGAGGTGGCATTCTTAGAGTTGATGTAAGAAGTTCATTTCATAGAGGTAAACGATGAATTTATAGCAATTTATCTGAATTCTCTCCCCCACTCTCCTTCTAAATCTAAATACACAAATCAGCACTCCAGACTTTGGTCGTGGATTGTATGGTTCTAACAATTTTCTTAAAAGAGAAGACCCAGAGATGTAAACACTATTTTCAAAATAAGGTCAACATCCCAACTGTTGGTCAGTGTGAGAGGTGCTAGGGTAAGGGAGCCATCAACATCTAGCAAACCCCACACTCTCCCAGCTCTGTGCAAGACACTGTCTACACACCATCGCTTTCAATTTCGTCCTCTTAACAATGTTTCAGGTTATTATCCTTCCCATTTTAAAGATAAGGAAACTGAGGCCCTGGCTGTTTAATATGCTCAAGGTCACAAAGCCGTAAGTGTCAGTATGCGAATTCAAACACAGATCTGTTGGACTCTAAAATTTGCACATTTTCTTCTGTAGTTTAGACTATGCTCTATTTCTAGGTTGACATGCTTAATTATTGCATCAGTGACCTAACTACAATACATGAATGATTAAAGAAGGTTAAAGAAGAGAAATGGCATCAAAAAGAGAGTGTAGATACCATCACAGTACACCTTTGGACTTCTCCCTAGCACCTTCCACAATGACTAGTGCACAGTAACTATTTACTAAGTAATTAAATGTATACGAATATTGGTGAGCTTGTTCTTGTAAGGGTGATAAAAGAAAAGAACTGGTATTTACTTAAAAAGACAGAAATGATGAAAGTGAAGTATAGGAAGAAGGGATAACAAGTATCATATGAATTAGATTCCATGCAAGGTAGTGTCAGGGTAGTGTTTTTCAGAGCAAGAAGGAAAAATGAAACAAAAATAGAGGTGTGAAATACTGAAATAATGAGGTAATGACTTTTACATTGGCCTGAACTTTACTGGCTTTGTGTGCGTCTAGCTCTCCATTCAAACAGTGTAAGATTCATAGGATTTTAAAGAATATTTAGAGTCACAAATATTTAAACACTAAAGAATTTCACCATAGATATGTTTGCAAATGTAAGATAATTTTCCTAAAGATTGTTTAGGTTCCACCTAATCCTAAGAGTTAACAAAGGTGTGAGCAATTACTAAATGTACCTTTCAGTTGAATAACAAATAAGGAAAAAAACTATGCACTGTGGAATTTGCATTTGATAAAAATAGAACACTTCAGACAGAAGTTGATTCATTGTTGAATTGAGCCATCAATAAAGGTTGTGGAGTCGTCTTCAATCAAACTCTTTAAAAATAAGATAAATCCTGATCCATCTTAAATGATGTCAGCTCTCTGCCTCAAATTCTTTAGATAATTGCCTTGTCCTTTGATTCAGTTCTATTTTTAGAGAAAACTGTCTATCTTAGGGTGACTATCAGGACTGGGTGGGAGGGCTCTAAAATGAGGAGACCTTGAAATCACAGCTGGCTTATTACCTCATGTCTTAACCAATCATTTGTGGTTAAATTCAAAACTAGAGTTCAGTATTTCAAAAGCTTTCCCTTTGTCGTATCATACACTACTGGGTTTTAAAAAATGCTGAGAAGAATTTTTAAAGGTTCTGCTCAAGACTCAACAATGCCCAAGCCATATAGTAATGATCATTAGCATTTTATGTGCATGATCTGATTTAATTCTCACAAAATCCCTAAGAAGTATTAGTATTATTTTCTATATTTTACAAATGAGAATATAAGCACAGAGAGATTAAGCAAAAATCACCAAAAATCACCCAGCAGTGAAAGGCAAATCCAGAATTTGAGCCTAAACTCTTGGAATCCAGAGTTGATATTCTAACATGTTTGGAAGCTGTCACTAAAACCTGGACAATTTTCTCTCCTTAATATAGCTGGAAAGTACTAATAACATTTTGTCAATAACAAAAACTGGGGTAAAAATATTGATGTAATTGCTATTTATGCAATAGCAAAAGTGCAAAAACATCCCCTATACTTTCTTGCGATTGAAGGAAAGTAATGAATATTCTATCTTTAAAAATAAACATCCGACAGATATTTTGTTATGAATCAACCTCATTAATTCAGGGGGTTCCAAAATAATAAAAATCCCTTTTTTCCTAAGTACCCGCAGGGAAAAATGTGTTACCAATTTTACAATATACAAAGAAAGAACTTTCACATAAGCATACCTGCTTAGAGACACATATTTTTCCTTTAGTTTTTACATATTCATATGTGCCACATAAAAGAGCATAAACATTTTGACCATAACTAAATAAAAATTTCATTAAATCAGATACAGAAAACAAGTTTAACTCAAAAGTGAAAAATCTCAGCCTGAATGACAGCAACATTGTTTACCTTGTTCCGCCTCTTTTTTTTAAGCTAATAAAGCAATTTTATTTCTGGAAAAGCTTCCTGAAAAAAGAGGCACTGGGTGTGCATGATGTGTTCAGTAACTCACCATCCCCCGAATTTGCTTACTTACTCCCAAGTCACAGAGGACACTGTGGACCCCAGACTTGAGCAAAGAGGAAAACCTGCCCCTCCGACTTTGCCCCATCGAGAAAGCAGCCAGAATGTATCCTTTGCAAGTAGGCATATCCAAATCTAATCTAATCTAATTTTAAATGTAAAAACTATTCTAAATAGCGTATACATACTTAATTTCATGAATAAAGAACCATATAATATAAAGTTCACCCACTCTTTTTATGTTAAATGTAATCCCCAAGAAAAAAATAAAAATTTCCAAAGATTTTGTTTCTTATTTTTTTTAATCAAGGGAATTCTCCCCTCCATTGAGAAGACAAAAGCATCATGCAAGGAGGTGACAATGCCAGAAGTAGTCAGCATTTTCTTTCAAACTCTTAAAATGTGGTATTATGGTACTTTAAATATAATACATTTTGATCCAAAATCTTGTGTAACATTATGCTATAGGATACAGAATACAAACATTTGTATGTATCATGAATAACATTAGAAATGACATCATAATAATCAGATATACTGTCTCTTCATTTTTGTTTGCATTATATTTTCCAGCTGCTGGTTTCAGAAAATTACCACTGGAGTTCCTCTCTTCTTCATGCACAGCAGAGAGCAATTTGCAAAGTCATGCAAGGGTGAAAATGTGATTGAAATATAGAGATCTTTCTTAATGAAAAATGTTACTGCTTTGGAAATTATGGCTAAAACTCTTTAAAAACTCGCTTATATCCTTAAGCCCCATGACACAACAGTCTCCATTTATAAATATACCATCAATTGTAAATTACTTGGCACCAAATATAAAGGTTTTTTCGACAGAGTTCTTGTGAATTATATGTATTTACATAAAATTATATTGGTGTTTTGGAGTATTTTGATCAGTTTTTGTTTTCCTTGAAATGAATAAATGTCAGGATTTTTGAAATCAAATTTAATTTTCATTCATAAAAATGAAAATATTGTCAAAACTGTGAATCAACGGGGAGCATCTGTTGGTATTTTCTAAACTTCAAAATACATATTGAGATTCAATCTATGACTTACAATATGACTAAATGGAGAATATTTCTTTGGAATATTCTTTGTTACTGGTTTGTAACCTTTAAATTATGCCTCATTTGAATGTGTATATAGCATAAAGATTTCTGTTCAAATAAAAAGAAAGTAGAACTGACTAATTCTTTTATGAGTATGAAAGAAAACAAAGACGGAGACTTCAAACAGAGTAACGCTGGTTTTTATAGTTTATTTATCAAAAACATAAAAATCTTCTTTAAATAATGATGTTTATTTAACCTCCCATATAGCCAGTGTACCCACAAATTTTTCTTTTTTAAATCAGAGTTGAGATTGTAAGAGTTTTACAACCTAATTAAAATTTAAGGAAAAAAGTGAATTCCTGATAGCAGCAACAGGTGGTTGAAATTAAAATTTTCTGTCCTACCTGGTCCATCCCAGTCATCTGCCTCAACTCCAGTTTGTCCTGGTTTCTCTGACTGTGTGTCCCCATCTGATTCAGCCGTCTCCTGGACTCCTTCATCATCGCCTGGAAAATACCAACCCACAGAGAGAAAGGGAAATATTTAAAGCTCTCTATTTGACATTCAAATCCTCCTAGAAGGATGTCCTTAGCATACGTGTAATGATATATTTGTTACATATATTGTCATTATACTGACAAATGCACACGACTAATCATTTTGATATCTATTATGGCTTTATAATAAAATCAGCATTAGTCATCAATTAATAAAGTTAACGGTTGGGCCAGCGCAGTGGCGTAGCAGTTAAGTTCATGAGCTCCGATTCCATGGCCCGGGGTTCTCCGGTTTGGATCTCCGGCGCAGACCTACGCACCACTCATCAAGCCATGCTGTGGCAGGCGTCCCACATATAAAGTAGAGGAAGATGGGCACAACTGTTAGCTCAGGGCCAGTCTTCCTCCGCCAAAAGAGGAGGATTGGCAGCAGTTGTTAGCTCAGGGCTGATCTTCCTCAAAAAAAAAAATAAATAAATAATAAAGTTCACTGTTGTAAACAATAAAGAACATTTCCATAAAAATTTCTCTTAGAGTTACTAATATTATATATAAGAAGTAAATTTAAAAAGCAGTATGTAATTTCTGTAGTGCTTTCAATACAGAAAATCTTAACTCACTTATTTCCGAATTATAATTTTTATAGAGGCAGGATGCAGCAAAGCAAAATTAAATATCTTAGAGTAACATATATTTATGTTTGGGGTTGAATTTAGTGTAATTTGAAGAAGACTTTTCTTCCCCTCCCCCAGCTTTAAGCTTGCTGAAACTTGGTTATATTTCTTTTAAAAAAGGGGTATAAATAGGACGTGATTCTTTCATGATTAGCCCAAATGATTAGCCCATGAGATAAGCCAGTGACTCAAGTATTCACAGTGCAAGAAGCTGTAAAACTTTACTTGTTCTTGAATAAGTGCAGCTACTTTTCACAATTCCATGCCTTCATTTTCACATGAGCAAAGAAAAAATGTAATAGATTTTGAGCAAAAGTATACTTACGGCAAAGAAGGAGAAACATATAACAACGCAATCACATTTTAAAAGTAAAAACTCTAATTTATGACTACTTTCACGTTAAGTGATAATGTAACCCTTTCTGTGCTGCTCTGAAGGAAAGTAATCCATTGAAACACAGCACATATAAAAATATTAAGTAATACCTACTTATAAAGAGTAACAGAGATCAGAAAACAGAATAACAAGAATGTGTGATGTCAGAAATAAAAAGGATGAATACTAAAAACACAGCAACAAACTCTGAATCTAATAATGCTAAACTTTTACAATTCAATTTCTTAGCTATCTAATCTTCCTCTCAAGTATTCAATAACTATTTTTCATATTGCTCAAATTTCTAATAGTACTTAAATCTTTACATGATTATACAAAAAAATACAAAATCTTAAAATCTTTCAAAGTAACCTAGACACACAACACCTATAGTAATAGGTGATATTAACGCAATGTTAATATGAGTTTTGAATGTTAAACTCCACAAGTTTTTTTTTTTAAGATTGGCACCTGAGCTAACAACTGTTGCCAATCTTCTCCCCAATGCCCCCAGTATCTAGTTGTATATTCTAGTTGTGAGTGCCTCTGGTTGTGCTATGTGGGATGCCGCCTCAGCATGGCCTGACGAGCGGTGCCACGTCCACGCCCAGGATCTGAACCGGCAAAACCCTGGGCCGCCGAAGTGGAGTGAGCGAACTTAACACTCGGCTATGGGCCGGCCCCTAAACTCCATAAATTTTATATTCATTTCTATATATACTTCATAAAATGAATCACTTAAAAAAGTGGAATAAAGGTAGAGAGACAAAATTTGGAAACCCAGTGACAGCTCTACTGAACTCAATTTCCTTAAAAGAGGAGCCTCGTCTCTGGTGGGTAACAGAATAAAACATATACCCTATACCCCATGCCTGGAATTGAAGGTTCTTTGAAAGTTGAGTTACCTCTTCCTTTCAGGATGATTAGAATGAATAGCAATGAAATTCTGTCCAAAAAATGTTTATTGCACATCTACCATGTTTAAGGAACTGTGGTAGCTACAGTAAGATATATATGGAAAAGTACAGTTATTTTTCGGTAGTATAAAACTCACTAAAAAGAGTAAGCTCACAAATAATGAGAGTGCAAGAAAAGGTCCAAGTGCCACAAGAAGGTACAAAGCCTCAGTAATAAGAGTTTTAATCTTCTGTGCTCCTCTTTGTGGATTAGATAGAACACAGACGCATCAACCAATTATCTTATGAGATCAGGGGAAGAGCTCTGCTCTTACTTCTCAGACACTAATAGGGCTGGTACTCAGCCTGCACACGCAAATAGGCTCCATGGCCTTTTAATATATTGAAATACTGTGAGCCCTGAACTAACCAAGTGCCCCTCAGCACAACCCTGCCCTGACCCTTTCTTAGTGAGCCCACTGCCACCTCCCCTAATCCAGAAACTAAGACATTAAAACCTAGTCAGCAGAAAGTTGATGGTATCTGCTCTGATGGGTCAGAGTTCAGGCTGTACCACTTGTTAAATACTTTGAATATTATCCCTGCATACACGTAAGCATTGAGCTAATACCATGTAGTTAGCAGATCGGCATAATTAGGGACATAAAATGCTAGCTCTGGTGGAGAACCTTGATGCTTCTCATGAGCTGGTTACTCTCCATTTTCCCTTCCTGCTGCCCTCAACCTACTCTCCTCCTTCTCTGCCCTGCTTTGTGTCCTAGGGAGACTGACTTCTGTGGACTCCATCACTGGCACACCCTTATTCTCTCTTTTCTGGTTGGGTTCAGCCAATGGAAGGCACTGGGAGCAGATCAGAAGATCAGAGGGCAGGAAGAGAGAGGTCAGGTACTTCTCCCCAAACCTTGTTCTCTTCGCTGGTCTCCGATTATAGGTCACAGCTGTGTTGTACAGTTAGAGCTCCTATGCAGTGGCCCACCTACTTCTCCCAGGCTCCTGTACCACCATCCCCTCCCATGACTCTTCAGACCAGGAGTGCTAACACCTTCCCACTGTTGCAAATCCTGGGTGCTTCCCATCCATGTGGGTTCCCTTAACTCTGCCCACACCTTGTAAACTGTCCCTTCACCAAACTCTCTTTAGTGAAACCCAGTGATCATGTCATCAGCTTCCTTCTGGGACCCTTACTGATACACTCAATGTCTTCCCAAGCTTCTTATAATATTTTCACGATTTTTGGCCACTCACAACTTCTGCAATAATTTGTATTAAACTTTCTTTAAATGGGCTCCCTTTTATAATTTAAATAAACACATTTTTAAAAAAACAAAAACTTCTCATCAGTGCTATAAACAGACGATCAGCATCAGATGCCAAAATCAGATGGCAATCATAGAAATAGATTCAATAAAAATAAAGGTAACACTATCAAATTTTAACTAAATTCTGTTTAGACTCCGAGTCTCTGGTCTCATTTCTTTGCAAGAGAAAGTAAGAGTAGCAAGTAGTTAAGGTATTTAAGTCATAGTATTAAGAAGTTGAAACATTCTCATTGATATACAAAGAACACAAGAAACTTGAAAACTTTCTCGCCAATTGATTCAATGCTTCAGTGTACCACCTTAACCTTCTTGAGTACCACCAGGGATAGCTGAGTCAATTTGACGAAATACTGACCATTTCAACACCTTATTTTTCACGAGGACTAGAATCCACACCAGAATCTTCAACTTAGGTGAGTGATCTTTTGACTGCATTCTTACAGATGGAGTGGAGGTTTAATTCAGGGTGCTAATGCAGGCGAGTTGACCAAAGAAAATGTCCTCCCCAAGAGTGAAGAGTAGAGAACACGACTTGTAATTTTTAAACAGCCTCCACTCCTTCCAAGTTCTTTTCTCATGTATTACAAATCTTGAAACATAGGGATTTGAGCACCAGAGGGGACTCTGGAGATCATCCAACCCAAATTAGACAAATTTACTAGTCAGGAAATTGATGCACAGATAGGGTCGGTACCTTATCTATGGTCTTAGAGCTACAACATTTATTTCTGCATAAGGCACATCCCTGAAACCTTCTCATGCTTCAGCAACAAGAGCTTCCCAGTCATCCCCAGGGTGACAGATTGAAGCACTTTTAGCTAGATCTTCTTTCTCCAACAAGCAGGACAGTGGTGTTATGGGGGACCGCGGAGAGGCATCATAAATGCCACAAAAAAACAGCAGTTTGCACAAAGCTAGGCATTAAATTTGAGTCTCCTAACTGCCAGTCTAGCATTCTTTCCAAAGCATCCTTTCTCTCCACACCCCGGTTGAGGAGAGAATCATGCTTACCTGAAAGAGATGAATAATAATCCCAAACAGCACATAAACAACCAAGCAGGAGACCAGGCTGTTAAAAATCACTTATCCAAGGGCCCAGAGAACAGAGAGCAAAATTCCGGCCAGAACTTCTCAGGGAAGTTGAGTTTTATATTCAGATATTAACTGCACCATCCTTATGTTCACCAAAGGAGTAAATCTACCTGAATTTTACTATTACATTTTAATTGTTGGAAACGCAGTGCCATGCAAAATGCAATCAATCATTAACATTTCTAATGCATATTTTTGAAGATACAATGAGATATATGAAAAAAAAATTACTTCCTTTTAAGGACCATATAATCTAGTTAGGAGATAGGCAATATACATGAGAGAGGTAATCATTGATAAAAACCTACAATCAAAGCAGTCCATAAAAATTCCAAATAATTCCACAAACACAAAAGATATAGAAGTTCAGAGACCAGAAGCATAAAATGACATCGACCATGGAGAACCTATTATAATTAATTTTGGAGCTCTACCTTCATATTGAAGGCAGTGAGAGCATTAGAGGTATTTCAATGGGGAACTGATATGATCATGTGACACAAATACAGTAATCAACATGCATTTATGAGTTTCCATGAACACACCTTGTAAGACCTCTGGTCTTCAAGTTCTCCCTTAGTCATTCCGTAACACCACTCTGACTCATGTCTCAGACATTCTTGCCTCCAAT